AAAGCATTTCCTCTGCTGGTAGCCTCCCAGCTTTTACTCACGGTGCTGGTATCCAGCACTGCTGCAGTGAATGGGCAGTGACGTCCATGCACAGGGAGGAAAGCGACCTGAGAGAGGGAAAAATCACCCCCCACCATAGTGCAGGGAGAAGCCATATGGCAAAGGGCCAACACACAAAAGGGAAGAGATCCAGTGCTGCCTGAGGAAGGATGGGAGGTGAGGCAGGAGGTCTGCTCAGCACAGCCCCTATGAGGTGCTTCTGTACATCATGTGTCAGTTCACAACCAGAAACATCAAGGGCTGCATCTCCCAGGGCCTGGCTAAAAGCCATGTGAGAGGTGACACAGGGTGTTACCAGCAGGGAATTGTTCATGCTGGGTAGAAAGAGGCATATTTGCAAACCAGGAATTACAGCAACAGCTCAGGTAGGAGATGGCTGTCTCAGCTGCAATAGAAAGGATAGTCATGCTCTGAAGGAAGGAAATCTCCCAGCTCTGGTCCTGTTCCAGTGTCTTTTCAGGATCTCTAGGCCAAATTCTTACTTTCGGTCATCTTACTCAGATGCTCTGGCCCAGAGTCATTCATCCTTGTCCTGCCCATTTCCCTCGCCTCCTATTTTCAGTCTACTTCACTATAAAGTTTAAGAAATATAAAGCTATTACAGACATTGCCACTTCTCCAAAGAGTAAAATGTTGTAGCCAGAGACTCCTGCATGTATGACCACAGACTTTCTAATTTCAGCCCTGAATTTCAGAAGCAAATTCCCCAGCATTGCACAGAACTCAGGTAGATGCACCCCAAATGGGATTTCTCTCAAGTCCCTAAAGATCACACACACACATTAATATTCATAACTGAATTAATATTCATGCTTTTCCTGTGTGGTGATTTATCTTCCTAGAACTGGTTTTGGCACCATCCATTTCCTTCACTCTGGGATGTGTCCTTTGGTCTCCTCCTGATTAATGTGTTGAAAAGAAGCTTCAGATAAATGGCCAAATTTTCATTTCTCTGTCCTTTAAACTAACCGTTTCCTCATGGCTAATCAGCTTTGTCTTTATTATGAAAATCTGGTGGTATTTTGTGCTGATGGGACATTACTGAGTACCATGTTCAGCTCTGGGCCACCACCATAAGAAGGATGTGGAGCTGTTGGAGTGAGTCCAGAGGAGGTCACGGAGATGCTGCGAGGGCTGGAGCAGCTCTGCTCTGGAGCCAGGCTGAGAGAGCTGGGCTGGGACAGCCTGGAGAAGAGAAGGCTCCTGAAGGGGAGACCTTAGAGCAGCTCCAGTGCCTAAAGGGGCTGCAGGAAACCTGGAGAGGGGCTTGGGACAAGGGCCTGTAGGGACAGGCCAAGGGGAATGGCTTTTAAACTGACAGAGGGGAGATTTAGACTACATGTAAGGAAGAAGTTCTTCACTATGGGGGTGGTGGGCCACTGAAACAGGGTGCCCAGAGAAGCTGTGGCAGCCCCATCCCTGGCAGTGTTCAAGGCCAGGCTGGACACAGGGACTTGGAGCAACCTGCTCTAGTGGAAGGTGTCCCTGCCCATCTCAGGGGGTTGGGACTGGATGAGCCTTAAGGTCCCTTCCAACCCAAACCATTCCATGATTTTATACTGCTGGCTACGTATTGCCTCTGTACACCGTAACTCCAAAGAATGTGCCAGTTCCTCCCAAGTCTGAACTCCCATGTCCTGTGTCGCTTACCTCCTCCTTTCCCATCCACCTGCACAGCGTGTGATAGGCAGTGATGGATTATTCTCCTTGGGGAACACAAAGTGACCCTCTGAGCTTACATTGTTTCTCACTTTCTCTGCTGGAATGATGATGTGAAATATTTGTATAAAATCCAGTCTATTTCCCTGGTGGGTTTGCTTGGCTTTGTAGCACAAATCACTTTGTAGCAAAATGTGTCCTTAAAACTGATGTAAGGTTTGCCAGGCTGTTTAAATGCAGTCCAGCTGCCAGAAAACAAACTTCTACCTTTAAAAACAAACCAAATCCAGCAGTTCCTTCAGAACCCCTCTCTGGGCAACTTGTGGAAACAGCCCAGTTGCTGGTATTGAACATAACCTGTTGAAATCCTTCCTTACCAGGACCATAAAGTAAAGGTCCTCTGATGTCCCTGTTGCAGGCAGATCCTTCCTCACCCTATGGATGCTGCTGCCTGGGCAAGGCTGATACAGATACCGAGCACCCTTTGCTGTGACTTGCTCCCTGTAGAACCTGGGAGCAGTCTCAGTGAAGGAGCAGCTGCTGATGGTACAGGAGAGGGATGAGGAGCTGCTTAGGAAGTGGTGGGACTTTCACACCATACCAGAGCCATACAAAGGGAAATCCCACCAGGGATGAGAACGGGACTTCCTTCCTGGCAAAATATCCTGCTCCAGCTGCAGCACCAGTGGTGAGAGGTGGACACTCTTGTGCATCCTTTTAACCTCCTCTGCATTTTGGCTGTGCCTTGGCTTACAACCTCCAAAAGGGACATTTCCCTTCGGGTTTCCTTCTCTATTGTACCTCAGAGGGTCAGTGTTTCATAGCAAGGACTTTACTGCAGACCTACACAGCAGGAAAACATTTGTGGTGATACACAGATCAACTGATTATAACAGAATATACCTCAGATTCTTGAAACTCCCCTATGTTACAGATAGACATGGGCATAGAAAAGATCAGTACAGAAATCACAAAAACAACTGGGGTGGGAAGCATTCAAGAGCCCCTAATGGGATGGAATATCCAGCAACTCTGGCTCTCCAAATGGAAATAGGAAACAGGCACAAAATCTTATCTGTATTTTGCAGCTAATGAAAACATTAGTCTCTCCTGGGAGCAAGTCTTTGCTCTAATTTTAATGCCTTTTCTTAGGTTTTCCTTAGCTGTGACTAAATTGCACTGTCAGATGTGCCTTTTTTGAAGTTAAAAAGCATAGCTGAAGTGCTACAACCTCTAGCCAGAATACTGCAATTAGAGTACACACTGAAACCCCATCTCAAAGCCTGGCCAGTGAGGGAACAGCACTCAGGCCCCCTGGTGCTCTGCTGAGCGATTGGTACAAGCTACCTCTGCTCCCATGGGAGCCTGGAGGCAATTCTTCCTGGGTGAGGTGCTCTTTGCTGGGCTGGCTCCTTGCACTACGTGGGCTGTGCAATAACGACGCTTTGATTAACAAGCACAAAACATTTCAAAGCCAGTCTTCCCTTCCCTGAACCCCAGAATGCTGGTAATTGTACAGATAGCTTGGAAAACACACTGAATCATATTTACATTGATCTACATATATATATATAATTACAAGGAGCAAGTAGCGACAGGGCAAGGGGGAGTAGCTTTAAACTGACAGAAGGGAGACTGAGATGAGAGATTAGGTAGAAATTGTTCCTTGTGAGGGTGCTGAGGTGCTGGCACAGGGTGCCCAGAGAAGCTGTGGCTGCCCCATCCCTGGCAGTGTTCAAGGCCAGGTTGGACGTGGCTTGGAGCAACCTGCTCTAGTGGAAGGTGTCCCTGCCCATGGCAGAGGATTGGAACTGGATGAGCTTTAAGGTCCCTTCCAAACCATTCTATGATTCTGTGATATTTAATTATAATTTTATGATACTATGTAACTTTAAAGGCTTCACCCACCTACTTACTGTGGCTGTGTTCACATCATGTATTAAACCTGGGCCTGCTGATCCCACTGTAAAACCTCTATTCCCACAGTGCCTTTTAGACAAGGGTCAAAGGCAACTGATTCCTGAGCTCAGCTCTGCTCAGTGATCAGGAGACAGAGAAATGAGAGGGCTGGAGGAGCTCACAAGCAGGCACCAGCCTCAGCTGGGCTGCTCAGCCTGTATGGCAGGTTTGATATATGGGGTGGACATACCTTATGGTGCTTGTGACAGATGGAAGAACATGGCACACTGAGTTCATGAGAGCAATTCAGGCCACATGCTACCCATGACTGTTAGGCCATGGGGGCCAGGGTCTGCCAACCTGGTAAGAGGCTTCTGAACTGTTGTTAGAAGTTATATAAGATGCTGTAGTAATGTAGTAAGATTCTTAAGTGTCTATGTTCTGCACATAATCTGGGACTAAGATGACTGCTCCCACCTGTGTGCTGTACCTGGGTGCTGGCAAAGACCAAAAGGACCTGCAGACTGTAACTTCAATCAAACTAAGGAGTGGTTTGATCTAGGTATTCAGTGCCATCTAATGTTATATATTCGCACACGGGAGGGTGTTATATATTCGCACAGGGATTTGGACAAGGGCCAGAGATGAGTTTGCACACGACTTACACTTAATATTAGGCATGTGACTTGCTGCTTACAAGGCGAGGTGTTGTTTGCACATAACTGGGTCTGTATTGTCCATGCAGCTGAGCAGAAACAAATGATTGTGCATTTGTTTGCAAACATTAACCCTGCGGAGCAGGGAGGCTCCTTCCACCAGAGCTGAATCTGTGGCAGCAACTATGTACGGACTCTCTGAAAAGCACAAGAAGGTTCAGATGTGTGTGACATAATTAGCATTATGATAATGAATGTTTTCCCACTGGGAATACAGCCAAAGGATGTTTCTTGCTGTCTCCAGAGAGTTGTCAGCCCTTCTCTCTGTGCCTCCTCCACAGATTTAGTTTTCTTTAAGCGGGGAAATAAAATCCATCTTATCCTTCCTTTTTATCATAGGCATCAGATAAAGACCTAGGTGCTTTCTGAGTACAGCAACAACACAGAATCATACAGTCATAGAACGGTTTGGGTTAGAAAGGACCTTAAGATCATAGAATAGTTAGGGTTGGAAAGGACCTTAAGATCATCCAGTTCCAACCCCCCTGCCATGGGCAGGGACACCTCACACTAAACCATATTACCCAAGGCCTCGTTCAACCTGGCCCTGAACACTGCCAGGGATGGAGCATTCACAGCCTCCCTGGGCAACCCATTCCAGTGACTCACCACCCTAACAGGAAAGAATTTCCTCCTTATATCCAATCTAAACTTCCCCTGTTTAAGTTTTAACCCGTTACCCCTTGTCCTGTCATTACAGTCCCTAATGAAGAGTCCCTCCCCAGCATCCTTATAGGCCCCCTTCAGATATTGGAAGGCTGCTCTGAGGTTTCCACGCAGCCTTCTCTTCTCCAGGCTGAACAGCCCCAACTTTCTCAGCCTACCCAACCCCTCTATGAGTCTATGACTCTATGAAAAGATCTGGATTTTTTTTCTTTGCATTAAGCTCCTCATGTTTGGAAGCCTGCTTGGGAAAGCAGGCAGTGGATAGGGAGATTCCAGTCTTCCTGCATACTTTCCTAAAGGCATTTATGATAATATGAGCTTTGAAATGGTCAGTATCAGAGGAGTGCAAGTAGAGACGCTTCAAGCTTTGCAAGAATGAGTATCTTAAATAATCCAGTGTTCTTAGGTTTTCAGGGAGACAGAAAAGTGTATTACCCCATAGGAATAAACAACCCCAGGTTCTGTTTCCCCCCTTTCCAGACCACTGTGGGAAGTCTTGTTGTGAGCAGAAGACAAGTCATTAATGAGTATGGGCCCTTTGACTGAAGTGACTTCCCAAGGAAGCAGGAGTTACAGCTACAAACCCCTCTGGAATCAGAGAGAGCTATGACCTTCTCTTTGCATGTTTTGCCTAAAGTTCTTGTGTAAGATTCAGTAGAACCACTTCCCTCCCTTCTAGCTTTGTCTGGCTGTGCTGGGTGTGCTGGGATCGCTATGGAATGGTGAGGAAATCTACACTAGAAGTAGGTACCTCTTTTTAAGTTAGTGTTATCATGGAGCTTGTCTCAGGTCAGGCTGGGAGATGTCGAGCATTCCTGGCACCCTGGGAGCTTGGCAGTCCTAAACACGAGGATGGATAAGGTGCGGTGACTGCTGCATCTGGTAGCTTTGGATGATAGATCAGAACCATTCCAGACCTGAATGCTAGAATTAGCCAGGTCCGTTATAGGCAGGAGATGGTCTCATTACGGCTCCTAGTGGTTAAAAGCACCCATGACATGTTCTATAGGAGGTTTGCTGGCGTTCTTGGAATACTGCATGAGTAACTCTTTCCCTGTCCCTGGAACTACCCACTGTAATCTTCCTTCCTTTTTTAGATTTAATTTTTCATCTTTGCTTGGAATTCCTGTGTAACGAGAAGGATGACCACTGTAAGGAAAAGGACACAAACACAGAAAGGATGGATAATGCCCTCACTCCTATCCATCACAGGGTATTTTGGGCAAACCATTTTGCCTTTTCCTACCTGTCTCCCCATTTGTTCACTACTGTGCATGTTACATATCGGGATTTCAGTCACAGAGCATGATCCCATTGTGAGTGAAGCAATTAAAATAGGAAATTAAAAGGTAACCCTGTCCCAGACTGCTTTGGAGATGCAGGACAAGAGGCAACAGATGGATACAGTCACAGAGGAGAACTTCAGGCAGCAGTGAAGTGATACAGCTCAATGTGATAGGCAGGCAGTGAAGGGCATAAGCTGTTGCCAAGGCTTCTGTATTGTAGCAAGAAATATTAATGACAGATTTGAGAAAAGCTAATGAGAGAGTTGTGTAAATATTGTTTTAAGCCCAAAGCATGAAATTGGGTGTTTGAACATCCAACAGTAGCTAATGTCTGTAGTAAGCATGACACCCATGAATTTGTAATGGAGGTTATGAAGGTTAATTCATGAGCATGCCTAAGTGTGTTTAAACACCACTGAAGAGTACTGATAAATTAATGATTTCAGGGAAAAGTCTTGGAATAATTTTAAATAAAGGCAGCACGATTTAAAACTTAGGGACTCTTCATCAGGGACTTCAGTGATAGGACAAGGGCAATGGGTTCAAACTGAAACAGGGGAAGTTCACTTTAGATACAAGGAAGAAGTTCTTTCCCGTTAGGGTGGTGAGGCACTGGAACAGAGAAGCTGTGGCTGCCCCATTCCTGGCAGTGTTCAAGGCCAGGTTGGACAGAGCCTTGGGTGACATGGTTTACTGTGAGGTGCCCCTGCCCATGGCAGGGGGTTGGAATTGGATGATCTTAAGGTCCTTTCCAACCCAAACCATTCTGTGATTCTATGATTTTAGACAGCAATGTGTGAAGGAACTGCAAGACATGAGGCCATGACCTTCTCATATGAGCAGGGAGGTCATGCATATGAAAACTGCCAAAAGGATTTTTTAGCAGTTGCAGACTCTGCGTATCAGATTGGGGTTATTTTCATATGCAGTGGCTACAATACTTCACTACATGTGTGTGTACTAGTTTCAAGAAGGTAAAGGTATTTCCCTGTGTTCCCACAGTGAAATGGCACAAAAAGAAGTGTGTGTTGGCACAAAAGAACTAAAATACACAGCAAGACTTACAGCCAGCATATTACTGTCAAAGCAGTTCACCTATCTCAGCACCAGTGAGGTAACTATCATAGAATCCTAGACTGGTTTGGGTTGGAAACGACCTTAAATCTCATCCAGTTCCAACTCCTGCCACGGGCAGGGACACCTTCCACTAGAGCAGCTTGCTCCAAGCCCCTGTGTCCAACCTGGCCTTGAACACTGCCAGGGATGGGGCAGCCACAGCTTCTCTGGCACCCTGTGCCAGTGCCTCACCACCCTAACGGGAAAGAACTTCTTCCTTAGATCTAATATAATCTCCCCTCTGTCATTTGAAAGCCATTGCCCCTTGTCCTGTCACCACATGCCCTTGTAAGGAATCCCTCCCCAGATTTTTTGTAGGCCCCCTTTAGGTATTGGATGACTGTTATAAAGTCTCCTCTGAGCTATAATGAAGGAAGTGTCATATCTAAAATCTAACATTTTGCTTAAGCATGTCTCAGTGCCACCTAAAATTTGATTTTGTAACCATTATTGGAACAGAAAATAACTTTTAAGGGACTCCAACTTTTAATCTCACAAAGCTCCTCAGGTTCAGTTCCTGACACAGACCACTGTCTGTCTGCACTGCCTGCAGTGAAGACAACTTGAAGGACCACTGTGAAAAACACTTTGTATGAACTTACAGTTATCTCTGACATGCAGCAGCAGCTAAAGCACATTTCCTGACAAACAGACCCTCTGCTTTTGTATCCTTTTGAATTACTGCAAAGATTTATTGTTCTGTTTCAAACTTAGGAGATTTTCTCTGCCCTGGTTTCAAGAGTTGAGTTGGAGGTTGCCAAATCTGATCTTTTTCAAGAAGCCTTTAGAAACATCTTCTTAATGTGATTTGTGCAAGATGATTCAGGCCTGAGCAAATGTGCCCCCTCTGTGTCCTATTTCTGCCCAGACAAAAGCAGTTGCCTGCAGCTGTGTCCATCCTGCCCTCAAAGGATTCTTAAGATGCCACTTGACATGCTGAATGTATTTGAATGAGTATTTTCTGTCATTACCAACTGAAATAACTTCTGTCTTCTCCTCAGGACCTTCAGAGCTGGAGCCCTGCAGAACAGCATTCTTCCTCTTTCAGACAAGTAGAAGTCTGATCACCCTGTATTGAAAAGGAAGTTGATGGTATGGGAAGTATTTTGTTGTTCTTGAAGAGAGGTGGTGGGTTGGATGATCTTTAGATCATAGGGAACTAATTTAACAAGTCAGAAGCTCTAGTCTCAGACCAGCTCAGACATGAGCTCACTGTGGCTGTGGACACGTTTTGGGGTATTTCACTGAGTCCAAATTCTTTACATCTCTGTGAAACCTAAAGCAGGATTGTTGAGTCTCAGGGAAAATCAGGTTTTCCGGAGGACCTGTGACTCGGTGTACCAACAGTTAAGTGGTGGTGAACAAAAAGAGCTGAGGCTTTCTCAGCTGGAAGGTACTGCACATAAAAGGAAGATAAAAGGTGGACTTTATGGTGGGGAAAAACCCAATCTCAGTTATAGGAAGCAGTTTGCTCCAATTAGGCCCTTCAGAGAAGACAGGACTTTGATTCAGTCTGCATAGATGCTGGCAGTGATTATAACTTTCTCTCCTCTGTTATCAGCAGTACTGGGGAAGTCCGCAGTTCAGCAGCATTTTATCTGACTTTAGTTTCAGAGAAAGGGTCAGTAATTTCCCCCAAGCTTCCTTAAAGATGTCTTTCGCTGCCAAGAAGCCATGATGGACGTACACCTCCAGTTTATATTGCATACAATGGCAGGCAGAGAAACAGCACTTCTGAAAATTACTCTTAAGCCACTTCAAACTCAACATATAAAAACATAGTCAAAATCAGTAGCTACTTCTGAAATTCCTTGCCTCCATTTAGGATGTGCTTCCATTTCAAAGGAAGAATGAAAGAAGTAAACTCTGCATTTGTGCTAAAGTAAAGCTAAGTCAGCTGGGTTTTAGTAGAGGGAAGGGGATTGGTTTTATCCTCAGGTTTCCCTTTTAAGTATTCATTTACTACTAACCCAGATAAAAACCTCAGTTGCCATATTCATGGCAGTTTAAGCTCAAATTGTCCAGCCCAAGTTAAAAATACACCTCTTGCCTTCCAACTGAACTATTTTTTGAGTTGTCTTTTTTATGAAATGGCTGCTTCTTACCTGTTCCTTCATGGGTATATTTATGAATTATGAATTAATGTTTGCACAGAGCTTGAAATAAGTCTTTATTTATTAGCTTTGAAGATCAGGAGTTGCATAAAAGAGAACCATATATCTAGCCCAGCCTCTTACCTGTCCTGTTCACAATGTTTGCTTTGAACAGATGGCACAAGATAAATAAGCTGGTTAAAGATAAATCCTCTAGAGCTCCTGTACCTGCTTTTTCTGCACAGAAGGTGAAACAAAGAAGCAGATAGCTCAGGTCCTGAATGTCAAGGCATGATGGCAGCTAACATTGTTTGCCTGATAGAGGAGATAGAACAGTGCTTTGATCTCTACCATGTGATCCTACAGAGATGAGTCATGGCAAACAGAGGTGCAGATACAAGTAACAGGATTACTGTGCATCACAGGGACAATGCTGCTGGTCCTATTCAATGGACTGGACAGGAAGGGAAATGCAGCCTGTTACATATGTTGTTCATCTGAACTATGAACTTTGGGCTAATCTTTCAGGCACAGTAATTTGCCCATCTTATTACTCGATGTTTGAAGTCAAAACCAGGTGAAAAATGCCCCTATATAATGTAGCATCTGCTTAATCATGACAATGTGAGTCTGAACAGTGACTATGCAGATCAAG